CCTCGCAGCGCTGCCGGCGTACCACGTGCCATTCGGGGCGAGCACATGGCAGCTCTTCCAGCGTCAAACCAAAGTCTTTTTGCGGAACCGGGAATTCCTGTGGAGCCGCGCGATCATGGTCGTCGTCATGAGTCTCTTGTACTCGTCCAACTACTACCACGTCGCGCCGGACGAGGTCGTGACGGTGCTTGGCGTCATCTTTGTCGCTGTGCTCTTCCTCGCCCTTGGTCAGTTTCCAATGCTGCCATCGATCCTCGAAGCGCGTGAGATCTTTTACAAGCAGGAGCGCGCGCAGTTCTTCCGAACGTCCTCGTTTCTTGTGGCACACGCGCTCACGCAGCTGCCGCTGTGCCTGCTCGAGACGCTCGTGTTCGGCTCGGTCATGTACTGGGTCACGGGGTTCGTCTCGGACGTCGGCGCGTTCGTCGTCTACTTGCTGCTGCTTTTTTGGTCAACCTGGCCTTCTCGACGTGGTTCTTCTTCATCGGCGTCGTGTCGCCCGACTTGAACGTCGCGCAGCCGCTGTCCATGGTGACGATCTTGGTGTTTGTCATATTTGCGGGCTTTGTCATGGCATCGTCGGACATGCCACACTACTTTATCTGGCTCTACTGGATCGATCCGCTCTCGTGGTGCATCCGCGCCTTGGCCATCAACCAGTACTCGTCCGCTGCGTTTCAAGTCGACGTCTTCAACGGCATCCCGTACAAGCAGGTCAAAGGCAACACGTTTGGCAACGTCATGCTCCAGACTTACGGCCTCAAGACCGACCGCATCTGGATCTGGTACGGCGTCTTGTACCTGGTCGGCAGCTACTTTGTGTTTCTCGGCCTCTCGTACTTCGCACTACTCTACATTCGGTTTGACGCGACGCCTGCGACAGCCGTCGTCGACGTCGACGCGACCGACGACGATGTGTACATGGCGGCGCCCAAGACACCGGCCCACGTCATCGCCGTCTCCGTCTCGGTGCGACCGATTGCGCCCGTGACGCTGGCCTTTCAAGACCTCTGGTACTCGGTGCCCAACCCAACGAAGGGCGAGCCGGACCTCCAGTTGCTCAAGGGTATCAACGGTTTTGCGTTGCCGGGTACGATCACGGCGCTCATGGGCTCGTCCGGCGCGGGCAAGACCACCTTGATGGACGTCATTGCCGGTCGCAAGACGGGCGGCAAGATCGAAGGTCAGATTCTTCTGAATGGGTACCCGGCCACGGACCTCGCGATTCGGCGGTCGACGGGCTACTGCGAGCAGATGGACATCCACAGCGAGAGCGCGACGTTCCGTGAGGCATTCCAGTTTAGTGCGATGCTGCGTCAGTCGGACGAGATCCCGGCAGCCGAGAAGATGGCGTTTGCGGAAGAGTGCCTCGAGCTCCTCGACATGCAGGCCCTCGGCGACAAGATCATTCGTGGCGCGTCGGTCGAGCAGATGAAGCGCCTGACGATCGGTGTCGAGCTTGCGGCGGCGCCGTCGGTGCTTTTCCTCGACGAGCCGACGTCCGGCCTCGACGCTCGGTCGGCCAAGATCATCATGACGGGCATCCGCAAGATTGCCTCCACGGGTCGCACCGTCGTCTGCACGATCCACCAGCCGTCGGCCGAGGTGTTTTGAGATGTTTGACTCGCTCCTCCTTCTCAAGCGCGGTGGCGAGACCGTCTTCTTTGGCGACCTCGGCACGAAAGCAAGCCATTTGATCGAGTACTTTACGTCGATCCCGGACACGCCGGCGCTCTCGGACGACGCCAACCCCGCGACGTGGATGCTCGAGGTGATTGGCGCCGGCGTCGAGGCCAAGAACGCGCACCCAAAGGACTATGTACAGATCTTCAACGCGTCGGAGGAGCGCCGGTCGCTGGCCGAGGCGCTTGCGATTCACGCCAACGTCCATCCGTCGCTGCCCGAGCTGACGTTTGCCAACAAGCGTGCGGCGTCGTCGTCGACGCAGTTCAAGATGGTGACGCAGCGCTTCTTCCGCATGTACTGGCGCACGCCGTCGTACAACAACACGCGCATCTTCATCTCGGTCTTCCTCGCCGTCCTCTTTGGTTTGGTCTACCGCGGTGTCGACTACACGACGTTCTCGGGCGCGACCGGCGGCGTCGGCATGATCTTCCTCACGTCTTTCTTCCTCAGCCTCATTTCCTTTACGAGTGTGATCCCGCTGGCGGGTAAGGAACGAGCCTCGTTCTACCGCGAGCGCGCCTCCCAGACGTACAACGCGCTGTGGTACTTTGTCGGGTCGACGCTGGCCGAGATCCCGTACGTGTTTCTCTCGACCTTGGCGTTTACTATCATCTACTACCCGTTCGTCGGCTTGAACGAGTCGGTCGGCGCGTGTCTCTTTTACGGCCTCAACCTCTCGCTCATGGTCTTGATGAACGTCTACATGGGCCAGTTGATGGCGTACTTGATGCCGTCGATCGAGGTCGCGACGCTTTCTGGCATCCTCTTCAACTCGATCTTTGTCTTGTTTGTCGGCTACACCCCACCCGCGTCCCAGATCCCGTCGGGCTATCACTGGCTGTACACGATCACACCACTGCGGTACTCGGTCTCGATTCTCACGGCGCAGACGTTCTCCAAGTGCACAGACGGCCGCGGGCTCGGGTGCGAGGCCCTAAAAAATGTGCCGCCGAGCGTTCTCGCGAGTGTTGGCGCACCCAGCATCAGCGTCAAGCAGTACATTGAGTTTACATACAAGATGTACTACGACGACGCGCTCCGGGACATTCTCGTCGTGCTTGGCTGCATTGTCCTCTTCCGCGTCCTCGCGATGCTCGCGCTGCGCTATATCAACCACACCAAGCGGTAAAGACACGTCCATCGGCGATATGTCGACAAGAACGGCGTTGATAAGACAACAATGTATGCATGTTCCTTCCATTCATTCAATTCGAAATGGATCGGTGTTGTTACGATTGGAATTCTTGGGTTTGCAATACTAGTAATACCTTTACGGTCGTATTAACCCTCCCAGACCCAAGGGCGGACGAGGTCCCGTGCGGGGTGGGCTGGTAGGAACTTATCTGTCCTGACTGTCAATGTCCATGCTAGGCAATAGACATTTGTCGTGTAAAAGGACTCGAATGGCGGGTACCTTGAGTACTATGTTCTTGTCGCTGATCGCCCGAGATCTCGAGTCGCTGGAGTCTGTCGAGAACCTAAAGAACTGCACAGTTTTGCACCCGGTCGGGAGGCCAGGACATTGATCTGTGACTGTCGTGGAGGAGAACACGACTGCAAGAACGCCTTAATTTCTCTCTAGCACTGGTACAATGTTGTGACCGTTCGTATGTCCGGCCAACGGCGATCGAAAGGCTTCACGACAGCTGGTAGCCAACCTTGACAGAATATTCCACAGCCCCCGAAGTCCCAGCACATTGAACCCCAGTGTCAAGTTGGTTGAGCATTTAGAGATTTAGAGGTTGTCCCGAGATTTAGAGATTTAGAAATCAACGGCTTGCAAATCTTCGACGGCGACGTTGGAGGAAGAAGAAGATATCCTTTCGACGCTGGGTGGTCCAGCCGTCTTGGAACATTGCCTCAAGTGTTGAGGTGCGTGGGCTGTTGTTCGATCCGAAGGTCTGCCATCGACGCCCATGGCACACAATATCATTCTCCAACTTGCTTGGCTACGATGAAGCTGGTTTGGATTCTCGCGCTTGCAAATGCTGTCGCAGCCTCGTTCGGCATGGAGCTACTCGAAGACATTGCCAAGTCATGCTCGTGCGACACCGACTGTCCGCAAATCACGTGCTACGCCGCCCCCGTGTGCACGCGCGGGCGCTGCGCGTACACGCAAAAGCCCACCGGTGCCAAGTGTCCGGGCCAGAGCTGCACGAACGGCGGCGCCTGTGACGACGATGCCAACGACTATTGCAACGACAAGGCCGAATGCATCAGCGCTTTCAAGCCGTCGACGAGCGTGTGCCGGCCTTCCAGTGGCCAGTGCGATGTCGCCGAGATGTGCACGGGGTCCTCGGGTGCCTGTCCTATCGACAGCTACGCACCTTCGACGATGGCGTGCTCGGGCACGTGCAACAGTGGTCCATGCGATGACCAAGACTACTGCGATGGTTTTGGCAGCTGTATTGACAAGTTCTTGCCGTCAACCGCCGTCTGCCGCGTGTCCAAGGGTGCTTGTGACGTTGCAGAGACGTGCTCGGGGACGTCGGGGTCGTGTCCCGTGGACCAGTTCGCCTCCAAGGACAAGTCGTGCAGCGGGTCGTCAAACGGTGGCGCGTGCGACGGACAAGACGTCTGCGACGGCAAGGGCAACTGCGTCGATATGTATTTGCCATCCTCGACGGTCTGCCGCGCGTCCAAGGGCGAGTGCGACGTGAGCGAAAAGTGCACGGGGACATCGAGCGCATGCCCTGCCGACGGATTTGCGGGTGCGACGACCAAGTGCACGGGCACGAGCAACGGCGGCGCGTGCGACGATCAGGATTTCTGCGACGGCAAGGGCAACTGCGTCGACAAGTACCGACCGTCCACGTTTGTGTGCCGCGCCGCCGACGGCAGCTGCGACGTCGCCGAGACGTGCTCGGGCTCGTCGAGCGCGTGCCCGGCCAACGCGTACGCCTCGACCTCGGTCACGTGCTCTGGCAAGTCGAACGGCGGGGCGTGCGATGCGCAAGACTACTGCGACGGCAAGGGTGGCTGTGCGGACGCGTTCCAGAACTCCAAGTTTGTGTGCCGCGCGTCCAAGAGCGACTGCGACGTGGCCGAGACGTGCTCGGGGACTGCGGGCTCGTGCCCGGCCGACGGCTTTGCCTCGACCGCGGTCAAATGCACAGGTACCTGCAACGGCAACCCGTGCGACGATCAAGACTACTGCGACGGGAAGGGCAACTGCGTCGACAAGTACTTTGCGTCCGACAAGGTCTGCCGCGCGTCCAAGGGCGACTGCGACGTGGCCGAGACCTGCAACGGCAAGTCTGGTCAGTGCCCTGTCGACGGCTTTGCGTCCACCTCAGTCAAGTGCTCTGGCAAGTCGACGGGCGGTGCGTGCGATGCGCAGGACTACTGCGACGGCAAGGGCAACTGCGTCGACAAGTATCAAGACTCCAAGTTTGTGTGCCGCCCGGCCAAGGACGCGTGCGATGTCGCCGAAACCTGCTGCGGCTCCAAGGGCGCGTGCCCGGCCGACACGTTCGCGGGTGCGACCACCAAGTGCACGGGTACCTGCAACGGCAACCCTTGCGACGGCCAAGACTACTGCGACGGCAAAGGCCAGTGCGTCGACAAGTACCTGCCGTCGGGCACGGTCTGCGGCACCAAGGGCAACCCGTGCATCTTGGCAGCCACGTGCACGGGTGACATGGGCTTTTGCCCTCCCGATGACTTTGCGCCGCCGTCGACGTCCTGCACGGGCACCAAGAGCGGCGGCGTCTGCGACGGCAAAGATCTCTGCGACGGCGAGGGGTCGTGCGTCGACAAGTTCCTCAACGGCGTTGTGTGCCAAAAGCCCGTCGGGTACAGCCGCCCGACCTACTGCAACGGCAAGACGTCGAGTTGCCCGGTCGCGAGCTTTCTCAGTTTGCGCGAGGCCAGTGACGACGACGTGGCGGCCACCGAGCAGTTGCTGGTCGCGATGCAGCCGTCGTCGCCGATGGTGCTGCTCGGTCTTGTCTGCGTCGTCGCCGTCGGCGTCGCGCTCGTGACCGTGCGCCAGCAGCATCGCGCGACGTCGCAGCACGACTACATGGAGCTCTCCATGTAAGAGTATGACAACGTCGCAATTTTGCAACCACGCCCCCGGCGCCGCTTTTGTATGATCCAGCAAGGCTTCATCTTGGAAGACTAATATATTCATTGCATGCGAACGAGGACTCTTGTGGTGTGTGATGACCAAGGGGTCGCAAGCGCAGCGCACCGGTATTTGAGGGAGCGATGGGTCTTATGCATCGAATGAGATGATCGAAAAGGGTGGCTCAGGAACGGGCCATGGCTGGCAACACCCGTGCGGAGTCGGTTGCTGGGAGATCGCAAAGTGACACGAGAGCTGTGGTCAGTAGTGTCGCCAAATACGGCCGGCGTGCCTCGGGTACTTTATCACGCCGCTCGTCAACGTCGTCGTCGCGGTCGTCGTCTTGAAAGAGAAGCTCCGTCTGTGGATGTCGCCTGAAGCATCGACTGCAAGCGTGCACTGAATAGCGTGTCCCATTTGACCACCCGACGACGCACAACACAACCGGTGATCAGACCGGTCATACATTTGTCATGCCAGCGGCGAGCCTCAATCCACCGACGGGTAGCAGCGATATGATGTTGACGAGGTCTTCGCTGTGGAGATTGATCGGCGCGTCACCGATCTCGAGAAAGAATGTGCAATTTTGCTTTTTGTCTGCAAACACTAAC